GGAAGAAATATCTGTTACTCAAATACTATGGTATCGTACCTACCATTAAACAGTAACTTAATTTTTGAAGCAATTGGAGCCTTTGTAAGAATTTCTAAGTTCATCGTTCTATAAACCCATGTTTATACAGTATTACACGTATCCAGCAATACACGGATAGCCTGGAGTGAAAATGGGCTTAACGTAAGTATAGAAAATCTTATCAGCATCCAAAACTACATTATTACTTGTATATCTGACATTGATATTGATAATTGTTGTATAAAAGGTACATAACTACACCAAACTAGCCATTAAGTTAGGCGCTTGATCATTATTTGCCAATTCTGTCCTTATGTAGTTCGTGGGTTCACGCGTTCATACATTTCAGTGATTCAATTTTATTTATATAAATACTAAATTTATATTTTATTTATATACTTATAAATTATAAAACAGCAGAAAGTATGAAACTTCGGCAATGTTTCACACTTTTCGAATACAGCATGACTTCGGTTAAATCGGTATGTTATCCCGTAATTTCATCATTTTTAGTAAAAAAAAGAAACGTTTGGGTGAACACAGTTGTAATAATACTGTTCAAAACCTTCTAATTTACTAATTCAGAGATATTTGTTTCTTTTTTCATCAGCAAATTACTTATTAAATAGTAAAAACAAACAACCAAAATTAATCTGTACTCCGTTTTTAAGCACTGTACGCTTATGAGCTTATTTCACTATACGTATAAGCAGCACTTGGTATTTTAATAGAATAGGAGGCAAACTAGCAGTCTCCATCTCCTGATGTTAAATGATCAACGCCACCCATAGACACCTTGAACACCAGATGAGACACTGCATTTATGCATTACCGGCCTTCCAAAAAGGAATTCGCAATTTCTTGTAAGTTTGAATCGTGAATCTTGAATCATGAAGTTTGAATGAAGATTTGAACAGTGAGTGGGAAATAATAATAATAATTGTAACTGGAAGATAATACGGTAGTTTCCAACTAGTCAAATTCAATACTTTTATCCGAATGTCAAAACCGATACTTTTCTATGAAATTTGTATGAAAAACTAAGTTATGACGTCATAGTTTTTTGCGTAATAGTTTATCTACTTATTTCTTAAAAATTTGATAAAGAGTATCTAAAATTGACTGTATCGATCGATCGATGAATAAAAATATAGTTATTTTTCAATACTTTATTTTATAGAAACGTCGAATTAATTTATTTTTGACCTAGGAAACTACCCAATTAGACCATTGTGAAACGGGTCTAAAGAGTAGCAATCCCACAAAACTACACTAAGAGCTACTCAATGGTACTGTTTTGTTTCATTGTTAACAAGTAACACTACAAATAACACAAGTAATTTTAAAAGTGAGTTTATTTAGGCATTTTCCCTGATAACACTTGCATTACCTTTCATTGACGTCAGATTAGCTCACACTTGCAGTAACTGCTGAAACAGAAAAGCCGAACGAGGGGCGCTACAAATTTATGGCGGGATGAAACAGACATTCTTATAAAAAAAATGCCCATACATCCTCATAGCGCATAAATTATGGTCTTCATTATGAATAGTAGTTTAACAGTGAATAAGACCTAGTCTTGTGAAATCTATATCATCTATACTAGTCTATACTAATATTATAAAGAGGTAAAATTTGTAAGTTTGTATATTTCTAAATTTTTATGTAGGGGGTAATCTTTGGAACCGCTGGTCGGATTGCCGAAATTCTTTCACTGATAGATAGCTACAATGTTCCTGATCGCTATAGGCTATAAAATCACGCTACGGTCAAATAGATCAGAGCAGGGTGAAACCGCGCGAGAGTAGCTGGTATTAGATATATGTACAGAACATTTGACACACTATTTCTTAATGTCAACTTGATCACAAAAGAACGCGTCATGTATACAAAAACCTATACATATTTAATTTTATTTTTAATGCACTCAAATGACACGATATCAAATAAAAGAGTTTTGGCCTTATTATGCTAGTACTCAGTTTATCAATTATCTACCTACATATTAAAAAACGCTCTAATACAATAAACTTTCGTGAAAAATAGTGAAGTTTGACCGTGAAACGGAAAATCACTACAATTAAAAAAGATTTTCGGTCTATCTCGAAGTACACAGAGAGTGTGAAACTAAAATGAACCATGAATTTCGTTCGTTCAATTTCTTTTCGAGAAGGTCAAAAGTACAAAACGTCCTATTTTGAGTAAAACAATTGTTCTAATTTTTGTAAGAGTTTGTCACAATTTGATGCGCTCGAGCTTATATTTACCTATTCACAAAAGTGCATAGGGTATAAAAAATTATGTAAAATAAATTTATCGATGAACAACGTCTTTGGTGATGAATTTTAAGTATAATACTTGCTCTTGTAGGTAAAATTATTAGACTGTATCTGTACTATATATTATACCTACGTATAAATTAACACGAGCTTATATTAGTTGTAACACAATGATCTCATAGAGTGTAAACCAGTAACAGAAGGCTGTGATTATAATGTAAACATATTTTGTACCTATCCACATATTATAAACATGAACACTTACGTATGACGTGTCATTCATTGTGTAACCAAGTATGAAGCTACTACTTGAGAACTGAAACCTGACACTTGTACAGGTAAATCTCGATTATTTTCACATCCCTATAAATAAATTAACGGCTGTTATGCTCGCTTTATATGTAGATTCTAATAGGTAAGTAATTTGTCAGTTAGAAACAGTTCTTAGGAGTTATTCTTTCTTTTTATGAAAACAATCTAAACAAAGATCGCTATTTAATTAGAATATGCTTCTTCCATCTCTAATTTAACTTTAAATGAAGTTCACCCTCAGACATATAATTTTGACAAAAACATGATCTTTAAATTAATACATAATTAAGTTTGTCATAAATTAGAATACATATAAGAAAGAATATATTTTGAGTGCAATTATTTGGAATGCTGACTTTTAAAACAAACCCCAACTTACTGTACCTACAGATACGGTACAATTCTGCATCTACTTGTATAGTGACGCAAGTCGACTTTAATTTCAAGGATCCCTGTTAGCTCCCTGAAAATAGCCCAAGTTTTTAGTGCGGAGAACCGCGCCGACCGGACGGCATTAATGACTTAGCAATTTACTCCTCAAATCAAATCCTACTGCGTTGTACGTTATTTCAGTGCAAGGCGATTAAATCTATCAATGAATTTCCGGCAGCGGGCGCTTGACACTTTTAATATCGCCAATCAACCCGAGACCATTCTGAATGAACAATACTGGCTGGGTCGTAAATTAAATATTCCTAAGTTCGTACCAACACAACAAACGTTTGAAGTGGTATGACGTTAAGCTACAGTCGGTGCGTTGAAACGCTAAACTCGTTGCGGTAACAATGAGGGCATTATGCTATGTAAAAACTATATCGTATTCCGTTGAAACACTTAGAGACAATTTAAATAATAATAATGGTACCTATTCTGTATTCAATATTTCGTTTGTTAAATGGGTTCAAAACGACAAAAAATAATAATAAAAGTAAAGCTTATCCACTCATTAAAACACTTCTTCCACTTTCCCCCCATTAATTGTTCCAATTATAATGTGATACGCGATTCGATCTTTGTTGCAAGGAGGGATCAGTTGCGTTGCCCTGAAGGCAACACGTACAAGTACCTACAAATATATCAAATTTCGATCTCTTTCAATGTAAATTACTACTACTATTTATTTATTACTCGATCTTTTCTTTTCTTTATTTAGTTCGTCATTGAGTCATAACCTACTTAAAGAAGAGATGTAATATATTTATCATTAAAAATAATACTTAAGTATAATGATCATTCGTCACCTAATTAATTTCCCTTTCCCATAAATATCTGCCAATTGACTAGCACTTGATTTCGAAATTGATTTATTTCAAAAATAGGTGTGCTAGTTGTGTGTCTAATAATAATAGCATTATTATTTTTAAATTGTGAACAGCTCAATAATTCCTCAACTAAGGTAGTAACTTGACAATTTAACATATAACATTTTTTCAACATGACAGGAGTCTGTTTTGCCACCTTCATCATTGTATCAGGATTATTTGTTTACACAAAACTAAATTATTTTCATTACAGTTATCAAATCATTGTGCCACGGACCCATAAAGCGAGGCATGCAATGTTGGTACGCTTGGTTCGCCAAAAATTACATCTCCTTTCAAACAGAAGCGGTTGGTATGAATTTAAGGTCCAGGTTCCAAAGTTTTCTTCAGGGATAAAGTTAAAATATATACATTACAAATAATATAAGTCTTATAACATTCCCGCTCGTTTGATAGCAGTTCTGGAACATATGATCATCACGTCGCTAAAGAAATCCGGTTAGTTCATAAACGTGCAAGCCAAGGTTATAAATGATTTTAGTTCATTTAAAATATGGTAAAGTCAGGTGGCTTCCCTTAACATAGAAGTTATATGGCTATTAACTACTATCACTTAAAAAAACGGATATCTATAGCAAATGTGCAGGCGAAAAAGTACAACACGAGGTCTCCCGTTACGAATATTAAAACTTAATTTTACGATGTACCAGCCTGATTGCAAAATGCAGTTCTTACAACACTGTCTAAAGGAACTTGCAGCCGCTTCAGGTGTGAGGGATCACACCATAGTACGCCATTGCTACTCATGGAAAAAAATACAATTGAGAATTGAGTTAATAATACTCAATCTTGGTAAGAGAATATAGTTTTTTCTACGTAGACGTCATACAAAAGCTTAAATGATAAAAAAATCCTATGTTTTTACATTAATTAGAATGGCATATAATGACTATATGTTACATCTCACCGTAAACAACATTTAGTGAGTGGATTTTTTTTACATACATTTTACGAATTTATTGATGTAAAACCTTTTCATAGAAACTATTATTTATTGTTATTATTCGGAAGCTGATTGCGTTAATGCTTTTATTATGTGTAAAGAAGTTTCTAAGTAATATTTTACCTGTGTGATGTAAGCTGATCGAGCAAATGTTTGATGAAGGAGCCAGTGAATAGGAGGGTTCATCTTTGGGCTTCAGTAGCTCATGTGTTGATACAGCGTGTATTGACAGCTCCTATTGAAAAATAATAAAATTATTATAAAAATACAGATATATAATTAATGTTATCAACATAAACAACTAAAACCAAAACAAAAAAGAAACGCAACAATATCTAATTCATTTATAACTACAACAACAAAGATAAAGGGTACCGCTCTAGCCTAAAAAAATTGGACTGATAACAAACCAGTGAATTAAAATAGCTTTCCACAAAGATTTTAATAATTCGACTGAAATTGGTACTATTTTATATAAATATCAAGTATTTTAAATCTGATTTTCATAGCGAAATAAAATACCTGCTTCAAACTATCTTTTATTTAAACAAGGGCTAACATTAAACACGTCAATTAGAGTTGTGTATTGAAAAAACATCATTTTTATTCTATATTCATATTTCAATTTATTAAATTTAATATTATCTAGATAGGGTCATAGTTAACGATAATATTTAAAAATAAATAAGAGCGTTCTTGAATATCAATAAAAATATTAATAACCACGAACAAATTAGCATCCATCGTATAAACACGTGCGTACTATATTTTTCTAATCTTAATATTAAATCGAATCCCGAAGAGATGGCCAATAAATATTCTACAATGTCTATTTTTAAATACGTAGGATGCTTTCTCCGATCTTGAATGAACGAGTCGACCCTCCTCGTAATGTCTTTGCTTGTTACGTCTCAGTATGAAACACAAGCGGAAAGCGTTAAGTACTAATTAAACCGTAAATCAATGTTAAAAATGAATTGTATTATAAATTACCCATTACCAAAATGTGATTACTTTTACTGAAGAATAGCTTGACCGTATAGCAAATATGATCATATACGCTGGTGAAGTAAAACAATATCATCGTATCTGTTTTTGAACAATCAATATTTCAATGAATATGCAGTAATGTTTTATATAATTCGAAATGTGCAAAATGTCTAAATATTCGATTAGTGAATACCTACCGAATATACAAATTTATTATCGCTCATCGCCTGTAAACTGCGCCTAAGCGTTAGCTTTTTGACAGTGTCAGCTATATCCGAGCTGATTTGTTCGCAACAGCTGCGTGAGCGCACCTATTAACCGCTGATACATGTTTGTCAGCCGGCTATTAGGGCGAAAGAGATAAAATTTTGGAATCATCTATATAAGAGCGAGATCGATTCATTTCTCCAATTCACGACCAATATTTATTTGCTGCATCGTGACACTTGAGAAAAATTCCTGTACCAAAAAATTAGAATCTGAATATAAATGCGAGATTTCCACTGGCAGGCCATTTTTCTTGTTACTATATAAAGAAATATTGGTCAAGGAATAAAATCTTTCGCCAGGCCAACGGCTTCTTGTCCAATATAATGATTAGTAAAATATAAAACTTTTAAGAATGTATGTTTTGATCAATGAAAATAAACAAGAATATTTTAATATTTACTAAGACAGAAGTTTTATTACATAAGAAAATTTATCGATCCGACTACAGCATTACATACAATATCAAAAAGACATTTATTACGTGTTCACTGTTGTGAGAAAAAAATATGTTTTTGGCTGAATATCAACCAAGAATACCTTGTCAATAGTGAGTTGATCAATCAACATTTTAAGAGATTACGGGTTCATTGCCTCTTAGTATACATTAGAGAATATAAAACCTTTATTAAGTACCTGCCTATGTAGGAAGTTCTACGCCTAGTCGACAGGTATACCTAGGACTTGTAACACATTTATTTAAAATTCGTCAATTGGAATGATAAACAAATTCATTCTAATAAATCGTTTAAAATAAATGTTTTTTTCTAACATGACAAAAACAATGAATTGCATTGATTTTATTTGTAAACCTATTTAGTTTTCCACTGAGGAACCCGTCAGGTGCCATTGTGAGTGCCAGTTGTAACTACAATCTGCGTCGGCATAAATTTTTACTTTAACTAATAGTTAATCTAACATTCTATTTTTTCTATCAATGCGATTCAAAAAATATACGATACTGACAAGACGACACAGTGGATCGCAGGGTGGGATTAAACGAAAATAGCGTGGTAATTAATGGGCGTTTTCAAGCCCACAATCTTCAAATGACTCGCATTACAAGAATTCTGTCTTATAATAACATAATTAAATTATCGAATATAATATTTTTAATGCACAAGGAAATAACAATTAATTAACTGACGTAGCTTTTCAGCAACTTGGAACTTTAAATATTTTATTTATATTTAATTGTGATATAATGATCCACTTTTCTATGGTTCTTTTATACTAAACGGCTCAGTACGTACTTCGCCTCTAAAAATGATTATTAAGTTCATTTAATTCAACTTTTTTTTAAATATTCTCAAACCTTTTCTGGCCTTCCACGAATAATTCAAGACCAAAATTAGGCAAATTGAAACATAACTCCCAGTCCAATTTGGTCCTGTATTACCGTTTCGCTGACTAGTTAACATACATAGACATATAAACAGTCTCCGACTATAATAGAACCTCCTCGTTTTTCGAAGCCTGTTAAAAATAACTACCGCCCATACACAGATTGTGTACCGTAAACAATATAATAGGTCAGTTTCACCACCTCCATCCTTATAGCAAGGTAAATATACTTATTTATTATTAGTCTCATGTGAAACTACTTACAAACGACTTCGAACTATTATTAGAACGCAAAGACCCCAAAATCAGACCAGTAAACGACTGCAAGACAAAGATCGACTGTACAACTATTGAAGAAAAGATGATGAAAAATTGTAATCTTTAGATACTTATCAACCAAAAAAAAACTGGCTGACTTATGACAAAGTAGGTAAGTGTGACGAAGATGCTAGTAACTCAGCGCCAAAGTATGCATGTTGTTACATTCCTCGATAGTATAAAGTTTCATCAAAATCCTATCTGCGACTTATATATCTACTACATACTCTAGTTTATCATGGTATTGCACAGTCTGGCAATGTTATTTCCATCACTTCTTTATAACCATTATTTTTTTATTGTCATGATTAAAAGACCTTTCATTTGAGTTAGATCAGATCATGTTAAAGGGAAATCGACAACAGAGAATTTTACGAGACTAGTTCCAACAGTTCCAATACATATATGGCCGATCATGGCCGACGCTCTCAACGGTTCTCAGAGGAAATACAGAGTTCGACAACAATCCTGATGCAAATTATGGGCTAGTGGCAGGTTCTCCCATGGCAGGAGAGCCAATCGGGCCTTGTCAGTCACAGCTGAGCTGAGCTGCACCTTCAACTGCATAGTTTCGGTTTCGGAGAGCAAAAACTTTATAGATTATACAACTTTTCAGGTTACAAATTACGATTCATAATGCCCAGTTGTTTAAAAGATTCACTGTCACGGAGTTTTATCTATGTAAATCCCGTTTCAGATCGAATTTCAAAAACATCTACGTCATACAAAGAACACTCTCCAAGTTTACAATCAGCAGTTTAGAGGCCCCAGTGTTACCTTTTTCTTTTTAATGTATGTTTACATAAGTACATATGCATATATGTATGTAGATTAGACCGTGTATCATCTAAATAGACAGTACCGTTATTTAACATATAATATTAAGTAGATGGAATGAAACCTCATCATTACCAACCTCCTCTTAAAAAGTGATTTTCCCATAATTTCCACTCTTGGCTAGCGGGCAAGGATAACAAATTTTAATTTTTAAGAGATGGATAGAACAATAACAATCGACTTTTAAAAATAAAAACGATCACAAGTTGAACAAAATTTGAGGTTACAAACATTATCGGACAACGCAGGACATCAATGAACTCCAATCAATATTTTAAAAAAAGTGTAACAATAAAACTTAATCATATGTAGGTATATTTATGTACATACTATATTTAGATAAATAATAAATAAATACTAAGGATTAAAGTAAAATAAAATATACGACAATTCAAGAAAACACAGGAAAAAACCTTAGTCACGAACTCGGAATACAGTTGTTCTGTATTCTGAGGTCACAAAGGCACAAACGACACAACTCACACCTCAACATTTATAATATATTTTTCTGTATATCACAAGGCGATATCTGATAAATATACCAATAATTATTTGTAATAATATCCATTATAAATTCCACGATATTCATCATTTCTACGGTTATATTTCGTTTCGGATGAAAAAAAGGGACAATAGAATGACGCGGACTTCAATTAAAAAAATAATTTTATTATAAATTTTTATTTTCGGCCAGACCATAGACAATTTTATCACCTGTAAAACTATATGGATAAGTACTTTCTAAAATTAATATAAAATGAATTTTAAACACAGAATACTAAACCTCGTTGATTTCGCACACAAAGTCAAATTATGTAATACTACCAAATACTACCAGCCGCCCCTGCTGCGCACGGGTATCCAACTATCTTCAAGTTATTCCTGATTTCAACAACTGGGTTTTTTTTATTTTGCTTTATGAGACCTTTTTTTGCTAATAATATACACAACAAAAATGCGTTGCATGCGTTGTTGAATTATGGGCTTACCAACACATTTTGCGATTAATTTTATTATATTATAAGATAATATACTGAGTGGGGAAAATCACCTAATAAATTAAAACACAACTTTTTTTATGTAATAGATCGGCAAACGAGCCGACGGATTACCTGATGGTAAGCAATCAGCGCCGTCCATGGGGTGTCCATGTATGTATTACATAAAAAAAGTTGTGTTTTAATTTATTAGGTGCTTTTCCCCACTCAGTATATTATCTTATAGCAACGAGTGCGTTGCCGACTTTTTAGCGATTAGGGATTTGGAGATTAAGGGATTGACGAGGGATTGGGGGTGGGGAAGGATTGGGCCTCCGGTAACCTCACTCACACGGCGAAACGCTTTGGTTGTTTCACGTCGGTTTTCTGTGAGGCCGTGGTATCACTCCGGTCGAGCCGACCCATTCGTGCCGAAGCATGGCTCTCCCACAATTATGTACCACCACAATAAACCAGGGTGAGGAGAGACCGAGTTAGAACT